TGCGGCACTGGGCAAAACAACCGGGGAAACTGCCGACTGTATAAATGGGAAAACAAAATATGAATTACAGCTAATCCAAGTATTTCATGATGGAAGAGATTTGAAAATCCTAGCTCACTGAGATTAGATAAGAACAAAGCAATGAAGAAAAGCAGTTCAAAAACCGAGAATTAACAACAAATGCAATAAAGCTTCAGGAAAACACTTTAAAAGTTAATGCACATTTCGTAGCACCTTGCAAAGTTTAAAGCTTAATACAACATGAGAAGTAAAGGTTTCACAACAAAATCAAAAATTTTATGGCATCATCAGCAGCATGCCTACTCATACCTCCATGAAGCCCTTCGACTAGTTTCGTTCAAATCAGACTGAAACTGGGCCGCAACACTTGTTCTATGATATACTAGAAAAATGAAATGTCTCAAAAACGGAATAGGAAAAAAAAAATAGGAAAAATATTAAAAGCCCGAGTTCAAGGATTCGACGCCATCAACAGGACAACCTATGATTTCTTTGCTCATTTCGCACGCTGGGACTTAAACCTGCTCCCAGATTGCTTCCAAAACCTTCAGGATGAGAGAACTTTCGACAGCTTCTGCTGGCTGATGACTGCTGTTGGCATCTCATACTTTTTAAGTCAGTTTCGAATGCCTCCATCTCTACAGAGATGAATTGAAAGGGATTTCGATTTTCAGTTAAAAACATACTCACTTAGAAAAATTATTCCCACCTTGCACACGCGGCTGCTTGTATGTCTGATTTTCGATATTATTTGGCTGGATGGGAATGCATTCAAAATTTTTCAGTGACAGAAATTATTTGTATATTGACTGTATATGGATGCCAAATTAAGCAAAAATTATTTACGAATACCGATGCCTCAAGCAAAACGATAAAAATTTTACAGTACGCCTCCAAAAGCACTAAGCAGCATTTCCCCCTCAAATTAAAAAAAAAAAAAAAAACAGATGAAGAAAAAATGAAAAGCAGCACCATTTAGACCGAAATTTATCTGCAGTCTAGGGATTAATGAAAGATACGGCGATATAACGAGTTCCTTGCGTAGTTGCTAAACCTTCATGAAGATGCGTTAAACGACCCGGAAAAATCATCGAGTATCCTGGAAACCAACAAAAAAAAATTACCAAAAATGGCCAGTAGTGAAAATAACAAGTAGGCTCAAAAACAATCACTCCTGCCATCGTTAGATTTCCTTTTCATTGAAACCCAGGCTACAGTGCACTAGAATCGCCGGTTCGACCATGCATTTTTGCATTAAAGTTGAAGGTCACTAACAGCAGGAATGATTCCTGCGCTTTAGTTTAACAACTGGACTCACACTGTCCGCGTTTTGGCTTCTTCCCAGATGCAAAAAGAACTTAGTCGAAAGCGTACCCACTGCTACACAATTCCGCCGCAGGTTTTTTTTCGCCAGTGGCGAGTTCTTCCCGTCAGATGCTTCTAGCTAAAAGAATTGGGACTGGCCACCACGACTGTTAGAAATTACTGCAATGACTCCCAATTCATGCCCAAAAAATTCAGGGCTGTGGATGCTTCGGTTGCGGAGTTAAGTCAAATTCCACGTGTTCATGCGTAGGTGGAACGTGAATGATTTCTTTGCCTACGGCTGCTCAAACACGGTCCTGGGTAACGCTTAGAAAGTTTCAGCACTCCAGCTGCTCTGGTTGCAGAGTTACATCAAATTTCACGTGTTCGTACGTGAGTGGCAACATGAATGCTTTCTTCACCCGTGGCTGCTCAAAAACGGTCCTGGGTGACGCTCAGAAAGTTTCAGCACTCCAGCTGCTCTGATTGCAGAGTTAAACCAAATTTCACGTGTGTACACGTGAAACGTATGTGGGACTTGAAAATGATATGTAAGTCGTTTTTGCGTGCATCTGGTCAAGAGCCACCGCCGGTTATGCTCAGGTCCACTGGCTGGTCCAATTCTGAAGTTACAAAAGCGTATGCGTGACGTGTTCACGTATTCATACGTGGGATACAGAACAGCTGACAAGTAATTTGCTTTCGCGGACATAACAATGGGCGACAAGTAACTCTGCAAAATTGCAGCTCTCTGTTGCTTATGGTTA